CCTCCTCCAACAGGCCTCCTCTCTCAAGTTGGTTGTGGCCCTGCCTGCTTTTTGGATTTGCAGCCACAGTGAACCTCTCTGGCAAGGTGAGCATGTGGCCTGCTATGGTGTCCAGTGCTGGACAGCAGACAAGTGATAAACCTTCCAGGCTTGCATGTTCCTTTGCTGTCATCAAATTCCACTCCATCTGCACAGCATGCTGTGGTGTCACCAACACAGAATCTTTCCAAGGTGATGTACTAAAGTCAGTTGGAGGGCATGTAGGACTTTCCAACACAAGGCTGTGAAGCATCCTTATCTCATGTTTGGTGCAGCTGCCATTGTGGACATGATGCAGGAGATCAATCCAATCAGCATCAGTGACTCTAACTTGAGTCTTCAGGTGCATGACAATGTCAAACTGTTCATAAATATGCCAACCCACAATTTCCTTGTGTGTATTCTTTTCCACATGACACAGCCAAAATAATGGTGCAGACACTTTTGTTGCCACCAGCAGGAATTGATGGAAGTCTCCTACCAGGATTATGTTCAGGCCACTGAACAGAAGGTCGGTTGACATGGCATCTGTGCCTGTTCATGTGTGACATATGGTGTTGGACACTTTGGCCAACAAAGGTTGAGAGACCATAGACATCTCATCAATGATAAGATAGCTTTTGTCATGCCAGTATTCCTCAAGTCTTTTCATTGTTTGGGCTGATTGCTTAGCACCATTCAGCAGTATCATGCTTGTCAGCCCATCATTAGACTCTGCATCAATGGCTGTGAGTGACTGTACAGTGGCTCAAAAAACTGGCCCAATGTTTGAGCAGTTTTGATTGATGGGAGTGTAGCATGTCAATGACTAAGAACTGGTCCAAGTGGTTAGTGTGGGGTGTGATGCCCATGGTCTGGGCTTTCTAACAAGTCCTAGGTGATGTTGGCCAGGTGAAAACTAGTGGAGGTATGATCCATTTGGTGTGGTGATGCATTGGGATGGTTTTTTGAGTTTGAACCCAGTCTGCATAGTTTTGAGTTTAACAAAGTTTAAAATGCTGTGAGGTGATTACTAATGCTTACATAATATATCACATGGTCTATTGAAGGATTTGTCATCATACAAACAATGCCAAACAATGAATTGGGACCATCAAGGCTCCACCTTCTACCCAACTCATGATACCATCCTCCTGGTCCATCTGGGCCATTTGCTTAGAGTAATCTCTATAAATATTGGTGTCCACTACAGTAATGTCATCAGGGTATATGTCCAACACAATCAAACCCTTAGAAAATCTGCTTTTAGTTATCTCCTTGCTGTTTCCCCCACCCATACCTGACATACAGTGGCTCACAAAATTGTCCCAATGTTTGCATGTTTTTCATTAATCATGGTGTAGTGAGTGAACTATCATTATTGAGTCCAGGGTGTTGGTGGATGGATCAAATCAGCTGGCCTTGGCTCTCTGATGACCCATATTACGTAATATGTGAATAGAAACTGATGACAGAATACCCAAATGAAAATGAGAGCTCATTGAGACAATTATGTACCTTTGTGATGCCAGGTTGCACATTCCTGGCCTTCTATCTGGCACTGGATATTTCCTTTAGTCTTATATGACCAAATAACTCCTTCCCAGTGATCCACAGTTCAGCTCAGAGTACAGTCTAGCCAACCCTCCCATGATACTGGGAGTGCCCAGGAGGGTTGTGCTTCACATGAGCCTTCAGGCAGGCTTTTTTACAGCTATGATGTAGTAGTTAGTGGGTGAATGGTTTGTTTATAATGGGATGAATGCCAGATTGGACCTCCACATCATTCTCAGCTCTCACAATACTGATTAGTTCCAGGACACATGGGGCACTGGTGGGGAAACAGTGCAGGAGATGATGGCCAGCAGGATTCTGAAGAGACCAATGGTGCTGATAGCATATTCTATTGATTATACTATAGTGTACCCCAGCATTTGCTGAGATTGCCCTGAGAGAGTGTGCCTGATGAGCCAGAATGGTGATTTCTTGACTTGTGTTAAAGCAAGGAGGCTTAGTGGTGCAAAATCACTGTTTGGCATTATTTGTCTGTTGACAAATCATTCAGTAGACCATATGATACATTATGTAAGCATTGGTGAGCATCTCACCATGTTTTATATGTGCTCCCAAGGACTACATCCACAGTATATCACAAAGTTACATAATTGTCCCAATGAGCTCTCATTTTCATTTGGGTATTTTGTCATCAGTTTCTATTCAAATACTATGTAATATGGGTCATCTGAGCACCAAGACCAGCTGCTTTGATCCATCCACCAACTCCTTGGACTCCATAATGGTAGTTCACTTGCTACACCATGATTAATGAAAAACATGCAAACATTGGGACAATTTTGTGAGCTACTGTATTCTGCAACTAATCAGTACTGAGAATGCTGAAAAAGCCATGATGGTTAATCTGGCACTGTAAATCATGACCAACAATCCAATCACCTCTTATCTGGTGGGTTTCCACCTCAGGGGTACTGGGTTGAGGGCTAGGGTGAGCTTGAAGTACAAAGGTCCCACATTAACCATGGACATTAGCTGGAGGGTAAGCCTCAGATATGCACAGAGGATGTAATCTGCTGTGATGAAATTCATCTTCATCACAGCAGTGCAAGGCACCCACATGCTTGCACAACTGGCAGCTGTGGAGGACAGACTTGAGCCAACTGATGTTGATGACCTGTTAGAAGATCCATGGCAAGCTTATGACATCATCAATTGGCACTTACAGCACTTTGTCACTGGTGGGAAACCTGATCAGCTGAAAGTTGATCACATTGGAAAGTCACAAGATCTGCCTCCATGTCATGACCATGTCTAGGCCACCCTAGACTGGCTCTACCCCAGTCTTGACTGGTCTTGTCCAACCCTCACCCTAGTCCCTGGCCTTAACCCTTCAACCTAGAAATGTATTAGTTTGTGAGGCACTGCAAGGCAGTGCCCAGTCAAGTTGTCTGCTCAGTTGGTACCAGACTGGTGTAATACCTGGCCCAGCCACAGGTCCTGCCCCAGTTCCTGGTAAATCCTTTGTCCATACTTTTGCTTGGTAATATTCTTTGTAACATCCTACTTACCAATCTGTTTACCAATCACTGCTGTACTGGTGCTATGTTACACTTACTTTACCTTTCATATTTAAGCCATAGGATAAACTGTTTAGCCTCAGTCTGAAATCAACTTAGTCTCATCTTAACCCAGTCCCCTCTGTTCTCTGTCCTCCACCCCTTGACCAGACTACAGCCCACACAAGGGAATAGTGCTGTGCCTTCAGTTGCTAAGTCCAATAGTCCTCTAGTATCTCATCTACCCCCCTGACCCCCAACTAGACTCTGGACTGGCTTTGGACTGGTGATGACCCAGACTTAACACTCCAAAAGACTCACTGTCCAGTCATCACATTCCAATCTGTCCTTGATAGAATCCTCAACAATATCTGCCAATTGACAATCACATACTGGATGTGTTGTCGCAAGTGCTGGCACATGGTGAGCCTCTGCCAGGGACCATCTACGTGTTCGTGGTACCCAAGCCGTCTGATTCGTACCTGATGGCCGATCTTTTAGCTCCCAGCATGCAGGCCCACTCTCAAGGGTATCATCTGCACCAGCATCCGTATGGCCAACAAGCATGTTATCCTCTGACATCTTCCACATTGTCCACTGTATCATATCGCAATAACACTCCCAGGCATTGGTCACTGCCAAAGCCAGGCCCCAAGCTTATCCATCCACATCGACACATTGACATGTGCAATCGCACCCACATCAGCCAATAGGGGCGCTTTCCTGCCAACATCGACCTCTATACCAATTTCAACCTGTGCTGCTTGCTCTGCCTGAACTCGCCCAACTTGGTCTCATCACACAAGAGTTAGGGACTTGACCAGCTGATAGGACATCATTTGTGCATGAATCTGGCTTTTTTGATGGGTGTGACTTGTGACTACAAAGGTTGATATCAGCCATCTGTGATGTGCCACTTGTTGTTTTTACCATTATCTTAGTGAAAACTCATGATATTTGTGCTACCTAGAAGTAAAAAGGCCTTGCTGGTACCCCTACTTGACCTGGCATATGTGGCCACTGGACAGTTTACTTGCTCCCCTGGGTTGCCTATGCACTATGGGATCAGTAAACCCCAAATAATGTTGTGAAATATGTCACCTGATACTCCTATCCTTTTGGCATCAGTATTTTTACCAAAGTCTAGTTTGGACTTAAAGTGGCTCAAAAAACTGTCCCAATGTTTGTGCAATTTTGACTGATGGGAGTGTAGCATGTCAATGACTATGAACTGGTCCAAGTGGTTAGTGTGGGGGTTGAAGCCCATGGTCTGGGCTTTCTAACAAGTCCTAGGTGATGATGGCCAGGTGAAAACTGGTGGAGGTATGACCCATTTGGTGTGGTGACTCATTGGGACAGTTTTTTGAGCTTGAACCCAGTCCACATAGTTTTGAGTTTAACAAAGTTTAAAATGCTGTGGGGTGCTTACTAATGCTTAGATAATATATCACATGGTCTATTCAAGGATTAGTCAGAATACAAACAATGCCAAACAATGATTTGGGACCATTAAGGCTCCCTCTTCTACCACAACTCATGACACCATCCTCCTGGTCCATCTGGGCCATTTGCTCAGAGTAATCTCCATAAATATTGGCTGTCCCAATGAGTCACCACACCAAATGGGTCATACCTCCACCAGTTTTCACCTGGCCATCATCACCTAGGACTTGTTAGAAAGCCCAGACCATGGGTTTCAACCCCCACACTAACCACTTGGACCAGTTCTTAGTCATTGACATACTACACTCCCATCAGTCAAAATTGCACAAACATTGGACAGTTTTGTGAGCCACTGTATGCTTCACAGGACAACTAGCACATGGTCTTTATGTTACACATGACTCTGAGGTGACTATCAAGCCAAATGACATTTGACACTATCTTGGTTTGGCCACCCAATCCCCATGAATGTCCCCAAGCCCAGATCTTGAGGACCAGGAATGGGAGGACATCCCACTGGAGAGCACAGATCTCACTATGGTGGCCTCACTCATTGCTGAAGAACAGGCAGCACAGATTTTACATGAATGGGCACAAGTCCCAGAAGACCACAACCCATTTCCCTACCCTCAGACTGAAGTTATATTTAAAGATGCCTTGGAAAGGCTGCAAGAAATGGAACATATACCCTCATGCCTTGGTATGTTGGAGGAGGAATGGGGTGAGGATGGATACCCAGAGATTGAAGTCATCCTCAGCAGGTGATAAGGTAAAAAGGAGCTTATTGTGGAATTACCAAATTTTATTTGGCATCCATGAGCACTCAGGTGGTGTCAAGCTCTTGCTGTTCTGAATCACACATTGGAGATAGTCATGGACACCAAGTATATAGCCAAATGGCATCATGCATTGTGGCTGTCTAGTAGGCCTTGGATGTGAGAAACTGAAGTAAACTTTGCTTAATTTGTGTTCATCTTTGCTGTATTGCCTTGTCTACACCTCCAACACTATACACTCCTTCCTCCCATCCTTTCATTTTTAATAGGTGCCTATCATGGTGAAGAGGCCTAGGAATGTAGCCTTTTCATCCTCTGATAATGAATACTCTCCAGCACTGCAGTCTTGTTCATCCAACTCAGCTGTAGATGCAGTTTTACAGAGCCTACTCAGTAGTTCCTCTCTTCCCTCCTCTTCCTCATGTTGCTCTTTGATATCATCTTCTCAATGAGTCTTGCCATGCACTTCTTGTCACACAGGTCTCCCTTCTACTCACTCTTGAACAGCTTCTACATGCCTTTCAAATGCCTTTACTCATACAAAGCTTGAAACAAACAAAGGCCTGAAGGGAAAAGGGAGGATGACCAACCAGAGTGTTCAACAGAAAGATGTAAGGCTTCACAGCTGATTTTCCTCAGTTTTACTTATTCAGCTTTCTAGGGTCCACAAGGTTGACCAGAGGACATGAAGTTTGAGGTCTCACAAATCATCATTCTTTCCTGTGGGATTAAAGCAGTGAATATATGTTCAAATCACCATATCCCTGCAGAGTGTCTGTAAATGATGTATGAACTCCAGCCCATAGATGATGATGATGTTAGTGGCAAAGCCTTTGATACCAGTGCCAATCTTTGGTGCTTATTTCCCACCTTGAACCAGCCTTACCTCAACCCTGGAGACCTAAACTGCCTTGAAACCTTTGGCTTGTGCTGCTTAGACTATCACCATTGCTATACCTTTGACTGAAATTGGACTTACTTACAATTTGAAAAGTCCCTCCTTCACAAGGTGCTCCCTAACCATCTGTTTGTATATTTGGATGGTCTTCCAAAGGTGAGTCCATAGCTAGGCAAGTGTTGCACTTGTGTTTGAAGGCTGACAACTGACATTTAGATTTTGAATGGGAACTTCAATGTGATGGAAGATTGTGATGACCAGCAGTATTTACCCCCTTTGGTGCTGTGTGAGAAGAATTGCAACCATTTCTCTCCTGTCAATGGCAAGGACTTCTTTGGAGAAGACATCTACATGTCAATCAGGGGTGGAAAATGACAAGCACATGATGAGTGAGTGATTGTCCTGGGTGAGTTGTTACTCATTGCTCAGATAAAGTTTGCTGATCATGGATATGTTATGATAGCAACCCAAACACCCATCCCAAAAGCCATCCTTGCTAGTTGGGCACAAACAGCTGGTAGTATTAAAGGCAATGGGAAGGCAATCAGTATATCACCCTCAGCTTCTTCTGATGATTCTGACAATCTTGAGGAATTTGACTCACAATGAGCTGAGTCAGATTCTGAACTCAATATCATTACTGAGCATCAGTTATCCATTGATAGTAAAAGATATCAGCCACCCAGTGTACCTCATTGCTCTAAACAGCAATGCATGATGGGTAAATGATTGTCATCAGCACTGATCAAAACACAACCAACCAGCCATCTCACAACAACCATAGATACTGCCAGTGCAGCTGGGCCATCTACATCAGCAGCCATTGATCTCATTGACAATTCTGATGAGTCTGGTCACAACAGTGGTTCAGATGTTTTCTTGCCCTTATTGTCTCCCCCTACACCATCATCAGATGGTATTATAGCATCAGCAAACATTCCTGCCAATGATACCTCTACTCCCACCCCCAGTCCTTCAGCTAGCCCTGTTTGTCCACCCCTCTCAGGATAATTTAGATGGATGAGTCAGTTGACCCATGGAAGGTGAATCATGAATTTCATTTCTAGTGTCATATATTGTCTTTGCAGAACATATATTCTAATCACTGTCATTTCCATCCTGTCACCCCTTTTGTTATCTGGCATTGCTCATTTCCATCTCACCATTCCTTTCATTATCATCACTTGCTCCATGGTACCATGGCTACCCTACATCAATACATTATAATTGCCCACTTCATCTTGTAGGTAACATTTACACACACACTACATAAAAACCTATACCTCATTTACTAGCCTTTGAATACATTCATTTTCTTGTAATTTGTGTGAGCAAGTCAATTTTCATGTTACCCATACAGAATTTGCATATTTCATTGCACACCCATGCAGATACATGGATTCAGCATAAATACTTCCCATTCAGTGCAAATACTTCCCATTTGGCATAAATGCATTCATTTAGTGTAAATACTTTGTATTCAGCACAAGTATTTGTATTTGGTGTAAATAGCTCTCAGGTTAACTCAGGCTAAATCAATAGTATTCAGGGTAAATAATATCTGTATAAATCAAACTTCATATGTTTCACATTTTATTCCTTGCATGAAACAAGGTTACCAGAAGAGAAGAACCAATCCCCAGAAATGTGACACTAAGGACTTCATATTTATACCCACAGTCATGACATTGTTCTTTTGTTGCATAATTTCACTGGCAGGTTCTGCACCCTTCTGTACTGGATACACTTGGGCAACAATTGGTGCTTCATAGAACATGTGCCAGAGGTTTGCTGGAAAAAGACTATGACCAATGATGCTCTCATGTATGCACTGAATATATCCAAGAGCCAACTTCTCAGGATATATGGGATAGTTCCAGACCCATCAGATGTGATGGATGTTGACCTGGAAGTCTCAACATTACCCCTGTCCTTACTCTCAGTCCAAGCCCCTATCCACCCCATCCTTGGTTCCTCCAAGGTTGCCAGTAGCTATGCAGATGATGAGCATTGCACTTACCTGGGACTCTGAATACTGTCCGCTGTGGCTTCCTCTCACAACATTTCATCCAATGGAAATTTTGTGCTCATTATATTGTAAGGGTAAAATGCAGAATATATTTTGGTGGAACATCTGTGCAGGATGAGAGATGTCACAAAACCACATGTGATCATTCATATGTATTGAGTACAATCACATACTGAATGACTATTGCTATGAAACTAGATATTTGGTCCCTGGTGTGGACTGGGTAAAGATGGAATAAAACCCCTTGGCTGCATCTGGGCACATGGTTCAGTGGCAGAAGTTCTAGGTGTGGTGGACTGCCTCTTGCCTGGTTGGGGACCATCATCCACTTCCTCCATCAGTTGCTTCCTCAGCAATGCCAGTTGATTGGGTGGAGGGGGGTCCATCTCTATGTTTTCCTCTAGAAAATATGGTTATAATCACATGTTGTTAACATAGGCTAACCAGAAAACTTGCTGGAATGCATGACTGTCAATTCATTTTGGATAGGGTTTTCATCCTGTGTGGGTGATGACTTCATCAGCAATCAAGTCCTAAAGTTGAGTTGAGAATAACTCATAATCTGCATGGAGGAATTGGTCAAGATTGAGACTTCTGGCTGCTGTGCCTCTTCTGATGACTCCATGCATGATGTCACTTTTGGAGAAAGAGAACATACTAACAGAAACAATGGCTGAAGTCAGATGTCTGCAGTAGTAGAGCTATGACACTCACTCCATTCAATGTTGTGGCCCTTTCTACATTGCAGTACTGCATCCCAGATATTTGAGAACAATTCAGAGGGATATTACCAGTGTCATACTGATATGAGGAACCACACAGTACCATGGGCAAATGCCACTCATATTTTTCCCAGTCTAAAAGGATGAATCAGTAACTGGAATGCTACCAGCAAGGAGTAGAAGAGCACTCACCAAACTCATAATTGTCAAGCCATATCAGCTCAATATCACTATCACACTGCCACTGGAAATCCTCCATTATATCCCAACCATGATGGCTGATGAGATACTCCACTACAAGATACTCTTTGAAGGGTTGTGAATGCCACAAATGCAGGTGCTTGATGGAATCACATTAGCAGGGATGAATAATGGCCCCCATCACATTGTCCAGGTGGCCAATGGCCTTGGGGATATAGGAAAGGATCAGTGGGGTCTTCTTTTCTTCTAAGAAGTGGCTGTAGAGTTTTATGAGGAGGTACTGCCTCCAAAACAAGCAACAGAAATGAGGAAGATATATGATGGGAATGAAAGTGTGGTGTGTTTCCACCAGATCCTGGTCATAAAGGTTTGTGACATTGACAGAAAACACTCCTTCATTGGCAAATTTGATCAAGTAGTGGATTTGCATTATATAATCAAGTTGTGTCTCAGTTACAGGAGAGTGGGGCCAGAAGTAATTAGTCATTTTGATACAAACAGTTTCTTTGTTAGGGAATGGAGTGCACATGTGTGATGAGAGGTGTTGCAAGAGTGCATGTCACTACCTGGTATAAAACACCAGATAGATGGTCAGAGCCCACTGTAAACAATTACTGGGTGTAAGACTCCAAGTAGTTAGGGTATTTGGGTGAGGTCAAGGTCAATAGAAACTCACCAAAAATGCATCCACAACACATGTGCTTGGATTTTAAAATATTTTAGCTCAGAAACCAACTTGTATTGAGTTGTCTGTCATCAGCTTGTCACCATGTTTATACTGTTGCTTGCCATGTGGCACGACTTTGTTTGATATCCACACTAGTGTTTCTATGAGGTGAACTGAACTGAATCAAGGTGGATTAGCCAACCAGTTCAACACACTTTGATAGGGATGAAGTGTAATGGAGTGAGCTCATGAGACTTCACAAAGTGACAACTATGTCTGAGTAATGTTGTGGTCACAAGTGTCTGGTGCCCATACACAACACATATGCCTGGTTCATTAAGCCAAAAATCACAGGGAAATTTATGGCATATGGCATGAAATATGTATGTTTATTTATGGTGATTTAGCCAAAAAGGCATTCTGCATCTGACAAAAGATTCCATCAGCAACAATTGAGTTGACATTGCACCTTCCTGAGTTTTGTAAAGAGCTGGGTGAATTATGATGCAGTTGGAACTTGGATCTGTGTAATTCTCATATATTTAAAGATTTTGCTGTGGAAGTGGTATATGCAAATATGAGATCAGTCAGAAAGTACAACCAGTCATGTGTAGTCTGGCAGCTCTCACATGGTGGAGAGAGGATTGACATGACTTTACTGCCTTTACCACTCATCACTACTCTACTGGCTGTGTTACACCAGGTAGTGTCCTACTGCACCATCTCTTACAAAATCTCTGTTGGAAAAGCTCTGCTTAGATCTGCTTAGTTCCCTGACCACTTGCTCACTTGTTCCCTACTATTTACACCATGTAGTGTCCTGCTGCACTGTTTCTTGCAACATCTCCATCAGAAACACCCTGCTTGAATACACTTTGCCCCCTGAACATTTTGGACTATTTCTTCATCTACTGCTCACTCACTTGTTCCCTACTATTTGGTGTGATACACCACATAATGCCCTGCTGCACTGTCTCTCACAATGTCTCCATCAGAAATGCCCTGCTTGAATATGCTTTGCCCCCTGAACACTTTGAACTATTTCTTTGTCTCAGGTAATGTACATTGGGTTTACAGTCATCCCAACTCTGTTTCCTCAACTAACCACTGGCAGTTGCAATCCACACTTGGATGCTCACCCTTAGAGTTCAATTGCTTTATGTCAGACAGTGTGTCTTCAAGATGGACCACCAAGCTATGAATGGATATGAAGTATGCATCCACACCTGTACACAGCCAAAGCAATGCAGAAACTTGCAAGGAAACATACTATGGCCCAGGGAAGGCAGCACCCCCCTAAGACATGCATTGGTGGTATGCAAGCATCAAGATTTCAATGAGAATTGCAAGGGATGGAAGGCAATTCATGGTTTGACACAGAAAAGGACTCACAAACCCACTATTGATGAAATTAAAGAAAATCTGTCTGAGGAAGAAGCAAACAAAGAACTCAAATGACTTTCACTTCCAATAACTAACAAACATGGTGATGTCAACATGGGGGGCCCAGATCCAGTGGAAGTTGATGACAAAATGGATGTTGACAGCAGCTCTGCCTCTGATGGAACCTGTAAAATTGAAGCAAGACCTGGCTTATTGCATTCCCCATCATCATCCAGTGGCATGCACTCATCAAGGCTTACCATAGGCTATCCAAGTGAAACAAGGTTGACATTGGCATTGCCACATCCTGAGAAATGGTATCTGATAGTACCTTCTGAGGACAGAGTGATGAAGATACTATTTGTCCCTGATCTCAGTCATTCAAGGTTATACACTGTAGATGCAGAGGGAGATTTGGGATGGATAAACAGGGTGGTATCTAACACACAGTTTGATGCCACTGAGCACTGGAAAGGCTGTGTACACAAGATTGGCAAGCAAAAGCATGGTGTGAAAGTAATGATGTCTGAATGGGTGGGTCCAATAACTCATAACATGAGCACAAGGTACTTAACTGAAATTGTAGCTGTGGATAACACTGCATGAACACATATGACAAGGGACAGGTGTTTTCACTGAACTACATGAGTTGGGAGGAATTCTGAGGGGTGCTTCTTGACCCAACTTCTGTGCCAGAGAAGTGGAACACACTCAGGGATATGGATTGCATCATCAGAGGTATAGATTACTCAATAAACTATAGGTGAGCACAGGGAGATGAAATGTAGCTCAGCATCTGATGGCCATGCCCATTCTTCAGGCATCCTGGAAATTGCTATGGCCTAGATGATCAGATGCTTCAGAAATACAATGGCTCAAAAAAGTGTGCCAATGTTGGGTGATTTTGGAATGATTTGAGATTTATGAGAGAACCAGTAGGAATCAGTGCAACTTCCTGCAGGATCAAAGATAGTACTAACTGTTGCCTTGACAACAAGGGCTTGGTTGTGTAATTTGATTGCTATGGCACTGAGATATAAGCATTTTAAAATAATATGTCATTGGGACACTTTTTTGAGCATGATGTTGTCAGTCATTATTTGGCAAATAACATAAGGATTTGACAGCTTCTGAAGGATTTTGTGCATCAACATTGCCTGATTATGTAATGTACATAATCCTGAGCCATAAAAATGGCTTGGGTCCCACTCAGCTAACCCTACTTCACCATGAAATGCATTTTTGCCTCTGCTAGAGCAAATATCCATCTTCTTGCCATATCTGGCCATTCTGCCCATCAAATCTCCTCTAAAGCTGGTCTGGGGCACTCTACTGTGGCCAGGGTCATCAAAGAGTCCCAGCCAGATAAGGAAAACCTCAAACTGGGACATCCTTACCAGCTTTCCTCTACTGGCAGAAGGTGAATAGTCTCTAGTGTGTCCTCTGGAAGAACTGAAAAATCCAGCTGGAAGAAGTGGCCCATTTTTGGCCCTCAAACCAACAGATCTGACTCAGGAGACAAATGAATGACAATACAACATCAGCTACTCATTGCATATGACAGGGAGACTATTGCACCATGGACAAAGGTCCTCAAGAATGAGGAGGATTTTGATGAATTGCCATCCAATGTGGTCCTGAAATGCAGTCATAGCAAATGTGGAATCCATGTCATCCTTCCCACAGCTACTGAAGTCATGCCAGCCTTTGGAATATCTGCAGAGAAATGTCAATACAAATGAATTCTGGATGGCACAAGAATTTGTGGAGAGCCTGGTGGATGTTGGTGAATGGAGGGTATTCATTATAGGCAGAAGAATCCTATCAGTGATGCATACACACTGGCAGAAGAAGCAATGGGTGGCCACACTTGTCAGCTTCTATTGAACACTGGAGGAGATTCAGTAGGTCAACTATCCTAATATATGGTGTCATAGTAGTGTTGACAGAACATGTTTTAACACAGGGATATGATGGATTGTGGGAGTCAAACACTCCATGACCTGCAAACAGATATCATCAATCTGAAAGGGGGCACAAACCTCACTTGGATGAAAGGCAAACAACAATTCCATGACTTTGTCATGACCTGGAAAGATCTGGTGTTACAGGAGATGCAGGCTGATGGCAGAAAATCATCAATATGCATATTTTGCAGGATGGACATTGGAATATGGATGGAGAGGGGAAAGGCTGTGGAATACTTCATGAATGAGGTAGAATGGACACCAACAACAAGCATCTGGCTTGGGGCTTACAATGGCCATACCATGGAAACACCCACAGATACATTTTCAATGGTGTTCAGACAATGGCTACTTAGCATCCAGAGTCCATACATCTTCTAATGGAGTCATTCTGACTGATATATGGTAAATTAATTAATATGTATGTATGTAATATTCATTGATTCCACATGGGTCAACCAATCTTGTATTCTAACCTCCATCAACATGGCATGTTGATTCTTCCCCAGAAACCTGTCCCTCTGCTCTGAATTGTGGCTGACCAAAGTTATCCAATACCAGGGCATGTTTGTAGGTGTTTGACACTGTTTTGCCTATCATAGCCAGCCTCCCACATTGGAAAAATGGAGACAAATGGTCCTTATAGTGATACTGAATAATGTGGTATTTTGGTAAGAGCATCTGGTAGACTATGTGGTAAAGCCTAATAGCCCCTATTCATAGTGGCAATCAGCACACCAGAGTGGAACTCAGTGGTTTTCAATAATGCACAATATCTAGATCATCTCAGACTGCTCCATTGATAATTAGAAGACTTCATCCCACTCAGTATTCCAGGTATTGGGTACCAAGTCAGCCACACACACCTGTATCATTTCACAGGGAACCTATTTCACAAGCTGCAAGCACATTGGATGTCACTATGTAGTGGTATACATATGGATACATGTGTAGTGAGGTATGGGGAGTATGGGGAGTACTGTTCCAGTCCAGGGCACATCACAATTGCCCATATTTGTCAGGTATTTACATGCCTTAAAATGTGATCTACACCTGTTGGACATCTATCTGGTTATCATCTGAGATCATCCCAAATTGTTATCCTTATCCAGCATGCCTAAAAATGGGAGATCTTGCTGCCATTTGTAAGGTTCATCAACACTGTTTGGCATATCATAAACAACCTCCCAAACTGGAAAAATGATGGCAAATGGTCCTTGAATTGATGTAGATGATGTGGTAGAATCAGAGTTGTCTAGCATCCACTAAGTGATTGCCTTAGACCATCCTGAATCCTTACCATCATACAGCACACCTGAAAGTGGGTGACCCTGCTGCAGCTTGTAAGTGTTCAACACTGATTGGCACATCATCCTCAGGCTTGAAATTTCCAAAATGGTGGTCAGCAGAGGTTGTGCATAATCAGATACCAAGTCACACTTGCAAACAGCCCAACATCCAAGTTCTGCAAGCTGCTATGCCTTCAGGCCACAGCATTTCAGTATCCAAACAGTCCCATGTCCTTGGAATTTATCACAACACATTACACTATTACTTGAAGAAGTTTCAAGTTGACTACCAGTATACACCTATCTCTGATGCTGAACTTGTACCTTATCCAGCATTTCCATGCCTCACATCCTCAGTCTGGCTTACAGTACATTACTGGCTCATTGCACAAGCATGGGTTATGGATCCAGAGAAGGCACATTCCAGCATCTCTTCATCATGTTGATTCCTTAGGCCATGTTCCCAGGTTGCAAAAATCAACTCACTGTCACAAATACCATGTATCCCACCCCAATGCTCTATGACACATGGATGGCCATCACAAGCTTGTTCACTGGGGAATTGTTATCCATGGTAGTGATGATGGGTATTGCTGTACAGTGAGTGAAAGCAAATTACCTGCATACTCATACTTTAACCCATTTTTCACCAACAAGGTCATTGGACTAGATGCCCACACTGACAACCAATCATCCACTGTCATGGAAACATTTTTCCATGCAGTTGACCAGTATGGGTGACCTTCAAGTGTATGTGGGGATCAAGGTGGGGAAAATAAAGAGGTGTCAGTATTCATGATTATGACAAAGGGATTGAATTGGGGGATCTTCATGTGGGGAACATGAGTATTTACAGTCTATGTCATTATTTCTGTTATGCAAATTGGATTGCAGGTCAAAGCAGAATACACACATTGAACACCTCTGACATGAGGTTGGTGCTCCCTTTGCATGTCCTTGGCATGCCTTTTTCTACCAACTGGAAGTATCTCTCAACCCAGATGTTTGTCTCCCATTACTATGGCCTACAGCACCCAGCCAACCAGCCCACCTCTGGTGATGATAGTGATGATGATAGATGGGAAGATATCATGGATCACAGTGACATGACTGTTGACCATGGTGACCTTCCATCCATAATTGCAGGTGACCAGGCATCTGAACTTGCACCAGATGGTGCTGCAGTTCCAGAAGGAATTGACCCATTCCCCTCCTCCAATTGGCAAGAAGTATTCTGGCAGGCTTTGCAGCATGTGCATTAAATTGGCCATGTTCCCCATGGATATGGCAAAATGCCTGCAAATTACTAGTAAGTGTTGGACAGCCCATCCTGCAATGTGAGTCTGACATCAGCAAGATTCAGATGATGCTGATGATATGCTGACCACACCAGCCATGACCCCCACCACCATTGACCTTAGTAGCCCTGACACAGAAATGGGAGAATCTGCAGGTACTTCTGCACCAGCTGAGTTGCCCCACCAACAGCTCCATCCACCCCAGTCATGTCTCCTGTTCATGCAGAATAACTCCTTTGTGATAGACAACACCATCACTGATTGTTGGAAGGTGAATCATACATTCCATTTCTAACCATCCACACTCCCAATGCTAGTGAGTAGAATAAACCCCCCATCCACCATTAAATGACCCTGCCCTGTTGAGATAACCCTAAAGACAAAACCTTTGGGCTACTCTACTATTACTCAAGAGAAAAGGACAAAGTCTTTAGAGCAAAAACCCAAAAGAGAACTCAAATGAGGACTCTGGGTGTTACCATCAGGGTTTATATATGACTACAGGATCCCTACATGTGTACTACACATGTATGTATGACATCACCAGTGACATCAAGAGTAGTCATGTGTATACCTCATGGTAGGAGTCCAGATGAGTCCAAACAAAAAGGGAAGAGACATACTCTGTGTCAATTAGATCATAGCTATATGATAAGATCAAGAGATAAAATGAAAAAGGAAAAGATAAGATAAGAGAAGAGAAGAGAAGAAGAGAAGATGCATCCATTACACTTGACACATATGACCCCTCCCCATGTACCATTTCTTGTTGATACTACCATTTAATACATTCTTTTCTTGTAAAAGTTGTGTGAAACTTTGTGGTATGGGTGGTGCAACAGCAACCATGGTGTCATCAGTTGACAAAAATTTACCACTGGTCCAAAATGTGGTCATATTTACTTGAGAAAGATACATATTACATGTCCATATAGTCTAGCAGTAAAGATGTGTCCCCTGCTGCAATGCTGTGCAGGACTTGCCAACATGTCATCATGAAGTCTGTCATTCAATTCCAGGTAGTGACCATAATTTGCCACATAATTACTATTATTCCTCATACTCATATGATAGCATGGTCTTACATTGTTCTGTACTGAACTTCTACCTTTTTGGGGCCCCATATTCATCATACCATAGTAATATTGCTTTAATCAGTTGGCCTTCATGTGGGGCAGGTGTCTGTGCTAGCATGCAAGCTTGCATGCATGAAAGTTTTCATGGCATGCCAACATATTACATAAGCTAATACCACTATGAAAATTTTCAGTCCACAGGTGTATTACATGATCATTACATAAGCACACACAGATTGTTTCCCCCACAAACTCATTATTTCCTGCACAACTGTAAGTTTGTCCTGCACTATTTTATGCACATTTCCTGCACTTGATACATATTTGTGCAGATGTAACACTATATTTTCTCCCAGTGTTGCAGGAAACGTAACTCTATCCCACCCTGCCCCTCCTATGAAAGTACCTTCCTGAATGAGTGCATCTTCCCCCCTCTATGGTGTTGCATTTGTACAAGAATTATTTGATGTTGGGAATAATCTATTGGTGCTGGGAAATTATTTATTTGTGTGGGACAAACAAGGTCATGTGCAGGACAAACAAGATTTTGTGTCCCACAACCAAAGATGATTATGTAAGCACTCACATTGCACTACACCATACCATCAAATGTTTATTGCCTGTGACCCATGAAGATAATCCACTAGTAGTGCATAAATAAATTGTTACATTTTACTGTAAGCAAAAAAATGTATTAAAAAAAGTTCCAACAAAATGTGCCAGGGCAGTCTAGTGAAGGTGTGCAACATTTGTGATACTAGGGGGATTTGAACCACAGCTTGCAGTCATGTGATGGCAGGTCCTGCACTGTATTGCAACAATGGCAACACACCTAACCACTAGACCATATGGGCAACCTTTGTGTATATACATCACAGCCAAATATACCCTGACATAAATTTTCTCTGGACTCTGTGTGTATGTTGCCTGATGTCTGACTATATGTGTGGAGTTAGCAACACTCAGGCCATTTTTAACACTGAAAGCTCATATTAAATGACCACTATATAGGGTATTTACCATCACAATAGACATGCACCTTCATAGGAAGATACAATCTGTGTGTATGTAGCATGAAAAAGGATCATCAGGGGTATGGCATGCAAGGGCCATAGCACAGTGAGCAGGTGAATGGGTGATCACAGTAGAGATATAATGGGTGGATAGGCAGCATATGTAAGTCAGGAGCAGAACTTGAAAGTGTGATGGGCTTTCCAGGGATTGACAATGGACTCATTGATAGTGATGGAACTTGAGTTAGGAGGACAAGGGGTACACTCTGCCTCAGGGGTTGCTGTCATAGTCATAGCAGGTAGGGGAGAGTCTGGCTCAGTAGGCTAACATGTGTACAGGACCTTACCTGTGACCTGCAATTACTTTGATGAGTGCTGGGTAGAGGATAGAGGGACAGCTCACCTGAGATTGAGAGTCAGGCTATGCAAAGAGTGGGAAATAATGAACAAAGTTAGTTGTCTACCTGTGAGTAGGACCAGTCACAATCAAATTGAAAGTAATCCTGAAAGTTTGCATGGGCCAGCCCAAGTGGTTCAAGTTTAGTAAGGTCTGTAGGTGATGGGACTCTTGAGCAGTGAATGACAGGGAAACAGTGTGTGAGCAGGGGGCCAGAGGTGGAACCTGAGTCCTCTTCATGGCCACTAACTTCAGGCTGTGCATGCATTAGGTATTAACTCTCAATGTGAGGGAAGGCACTCACTTCTGCAGTGCCATGAGGAAGGAAGATGATTCAGCTTAAGAAAATTCAGGGCTTGTCATCTTCCCTCATCAGTTTTGTAGGGTAGGCTTATAGTGCAGTAATTCTGATAGAGCATAGAGGACTCACCCCTTCAGTCTGTGCTGTCTGTGCACTGACTGCCCTGGACTTTTCCTTCAGTCCTCTGTTTGACTTGAGGTCTGCTTGCCTGTAGGATGGCATTCCCAGCTGCAGTGGGGCTGGGGCATATGTTGGCTGTGAGGAGGCTGTGTTAGCAGGGAAGCTTGGGCAAGATAATACTTTCTGTAGCACAGATGCAGTGAACCCAGAGCCTGAGGGTGGCTGACTGCTGGATGGCTGGACAGAGCTTTCAGAGGAGGCAGAGGGAGGTCTTTTATAGAGCCACTTTCTGGCCATGATAGTAAAAAAGGAGAGAAAGAATATTAAAGGAATGTAGTAGTAAACAAAAGTGGGCAAATTGGTTGTCAGTGGATGGAAGGAGAGTGTAGTTGTAGATGACATGTCAGTTTTCACAAATACTCCCATCACATAATGGATTGCAGCAATGTTAGTCAACAATTCAGTAGTACTCAACATAAGCATGCAAGTTACACATCCTACTGTACAGACATTTAGTTAGCAATTTCAAGTACATGGATGAGGACTTCCATGGCCTGACACTACCTAAGAGCTCATGGTCTCCAGATAAATTCTGGAAGCTTGACTATAATTTCCTTTTGGCCACAATGTCATGAGGGAATGGTCTCCAACTCTGGATAGCCCTCCCCATCCCACCCCTCATCCCTGATCCCATATCCACTTGGAATATGTCCAATTTCCTGTACTTGCTGCATGGACAGATGAAACAATTCTTGTCATGCAGGTGAGGGAAATGGGCTGACTCCTTTTGGAACTGGGACACCATCATTGGCAAATTCAGGTACTTGATCAGCTGTGATCACAGAAGGAAGATCAGAATTCTGGGTAGCAACATCACTGTCATCTACAACATCCTCCCATTCATCATCTAAATCAGCCAGATGGCCTGGACTGGAGTCATTGCCTTGGTGTCACAGGCCATAGTAGTGAGAAATGACATTGGGGTGGAGCTGTATGTCATTCTGGAGATATATTCCATGCACCAGCTGCCCCATGAAATGCATGGCCTTCCAGTGTTTATGTCAAAATTTGGTGGACATCATATCATAGTTATATTACTGCACTCACATTTGGGCTCTGGTCATGACCTTCACCTGAGATTGGGTGAGCATTCCATTCCTCACAAATTGAGGCACAGTCTGCCATGATATCTGGAAGGAAAAGGTAATTCAGGAGCCACAGGTGATGGTGGCTGAATCAGTCAAGATGGTGCTCACACTCCAATCAATAGAACAAGGCACTCCATGGTCATGCAAAGCATGTGCCAACTTCATGCCAGGGTTGCTCTATGTGTCTATTCTGCTTGGATCTGTACACAGGCTGTAAAGTCAATGAATCATGTAAATGTATGCACTCATGTTCCCCCCATGAAACTACCCAAGTTCAGCCCCCTGGTCATGATCATGAACACCAAAACCTCTTTATTCTCCCCTCCACAATCTCCATGCACATAGGAAGGCAGTCCATACTTTTTGACTGCACTTAAGAATGTTTCCATCACAGTAGATGATTGGTTGTTAGTATGAGCCTCCATTCTGACAACCTTGAGGGGATTAGCAGGTTTTAGTATGCTACAGCACTACCTAGAGGATTCACTCACTGTGTGGCAGTATCCATCAATGATAGCATGGATAACTATTCCCCAGTGCACAAGCTTGTGGTGACCATCCATGTGCCAGAGGGCATTTGGGTGAGATACTTTGTATTTGTGATGGCAAGTAGCTGTTCACAGTCAAAGGACACAGCCTAAAGGATTCACCAGGTGCAGGGAAGCAGTAACTCACTTTCACTGTATCTGCAAGCCATGTTTGCACAATGACCCAGTGATGTAATGTAATCTTGATTGGGGTCAAGAAGCTCAGAAATGTTGGATGGGAGTGTCAAGCTCAGAATTCAAGATCAGAGTATGCTGACAATCAATGCCAAACTTCTTCATATAGTAGTACAAAGTATGTTGGTAAATTCCAAGAGCATGGGATAGTTTGGATAGGGGGATGTGATGCCCTGAACCATAGCAG